CCCCACTCCTGGGTCTGTCACGAACTATACCAGTAGTTCTGTGTCTTGATGCAAGTCTGCTGATGACACTTTGAGACACACCAAGTTCATGAGCACTATCAGACTGCCTGCCACCGACTGGAAGGCGTGCTATGGCCAGGTGGCGCTGCTCGTCCGTTAAGTGACGTTGTGTGTTCATGGCTTTTTGAACGATGAACTTGAAATGACTTACTGACAATACCAGCTTTTTATACCCACAGAATGTTGAAATTGGTGCCACATTGAAAAGGGTTGTCTTTTAGTTTTTTGGTATTGGCCCCAATATGTAAGGCACACTGTACACAGTGAGACCATTACATGGAAAACACAAACTGTGGTGTTTCTATCACCCCAATATAATAGCCTCCCTGTCCCAGAAATCTCTGAAGTGAAACAAAGACTGCACGTATGAAATCCACTGAGTCTCTCACAATATCCCTAACTTATTGTGAGTAGTGTATGTACTCAGAAATAGAATGCCTTTGGTTATCCTGATGAGATGGAGGCATGGTGACACTGACTATGTTATGATGTTATAGCTCTGAGGGAGGAGGTCAGGGTAGATGGTTAGGACAACGAAGCATTTGACTTTATCATGTATACATTCAGGCCCCTACTGATCCTCACTCGCATCTCGTGTTCCCAGGCGTTTTTAACATGACCATAGTCTTTATCTAACCTTAAATTTGAATTTTGCATATCACTAAATCTAGTTATCAGTTCAATCAAAAATAAGAAGCTAGATAACAAAACAAGTGGCTAGATAGTCAGACAAGTTGGAAACCACCTGGTTAGTCAAACGTATTTGGAGGATACAAAGAGCCAAACTGTAAAATGATTACACAAACCGTCTCTTGTAAACATTTCTCACAGTTTATATTGCTTTGTTCAACTTGATCTTCTGCATAAAACTTCCATTTGCGGTTTTCTAGCGAATATATATATTCGCTATAAAACTGCATATATAAAACGATAACAAGCAATATGAGTTCCAAATATTATCTCTGGTTCATTTCCAACCTGAGGCACTGTCTAGCTTTTGTTAGCTGTCCACTTTGAAGTATTTTGCAGAGATTGCTGCCTGCTTTTGATATTTGAGCAATTACTTTGAGGAAGTACAATGTTATCAAGACCAATACAAATTATGACTATAGATTATGGCTATAAAAATGTAACCCCAGTTGTAAAAGAACCTTAACCATAGTGATGGTAGATCCTAAAATGCTGATATGAATCGCAGTGCTGTTTGATCTCCCACTTTAATTGAGTCTGACCTATCTGAACAACTGCTGGACTGATTACCATGTAATTCATTAACCCCCGTGGGAGTCCTATGGGTTTTGGTGACTCCCTGATTTCTCCCTTGGTGCCGACAATTCATTCACTTTTTTCATTTTTTTTAGTGAAATATCTCAACAACTGCCACTTATTGTGTAAATACATTCATGTTTTAAAGATGGGGAACCCTTCTTACTTTTTTTTCAGATGCCATGTGAAGGTTGGGTAAGGTTTATTGTTGTGACTTAAATATGTCAATACCTGTTAGATTTGGTGATCCCCTAACTCCATTTCCAGCTTCATTAGCTCTTATGGATTTATCGTTTTCCCAAGGTGCGTTTTGATGGTTGGATAGTATCAGAATTGTGACTGTTCAGAATCACTACAAATACATTTGATTTCAGATCTGAATAGACAGCATGTCTAAAATACTAGTTCTGAGAGATCGCAACCTGGCCACTGGTCTCCTTGTGAACTATTTACTTGTTTAAGTATGACTTGTATAACATGTCAGACTGCAGCAGAAGGCACAAAACTGAAAAAAAAATAAATTTTTCTGATGTTTTTGAAGGCAATATAATATTTAGTTTTTCATGCAAGTAGAGTAGCTGTAAGATGCCAAGAGCAATTCCTTAAGGTTATGCACTATAGAAGCTTGTGCAGTACTTTCTCATGCTGATGAAAGTCAGCTGAATCCATGACAGCTTTGTTCAGGAGCCACAGTATTGTTTCCATGCAACAGCAAGACAATCACGACAAATGTGAACTTCTCAACCCAGAAACTTGTAGCCTGATGCTAGTCAACTGGGCTCCTGTGTATCATCCCAACTGGTGTGTGAGGCTTTATTTCAAAAGACAACAAAGCGACAAGTGAGAAAATGTTTTAGGTACATCTATCTCTAGCCAAAGCACCCACTCACTGCTGTTAAGGTAACATTTTTGTGAAAACCAAGTATCTACAGTTTTGCTTCATGATCATTTCTACTGCAAACGGATGCTGATTGTATGTTAAAAAAAAATAAATAAAAGTGTGGTCTCAAATTTTGTACTCTCACCCTTGGACCATATGTAAAACAACCCTGTCAAAATTCCTTCTGTCCAGTTGGAGTTACTACAAATACCGTGTCTGTATTTTTAATAGCCACATGTAATAGTAGCCTCAAAGCATGCTGGCTTCCCGTCGCCCTGCTAGAAGACAAAATTAGGTCAAGGTGTTTTACAGCCTCCTTTACACACAGTTACTGTTTAACTACGTTCAGCAGATCGCTTGCCAGCATGGATCACCAAAATTAAAGACCACGCTATATCTGAGTGCAAAGAAACAATAAAGCAGGGAAAGAGTAGATTTGAATGTGAACAGGGGCTATTTGGGAGGGTATGCAAGGAAAGCGCTACACTGAGCATAAAGAAATAATGCTCTCAAAATGAAAGACCGAGCTCTTTACTTAAGAAGGGAAAGTAACTCCATACATATTCTTATCAAACCTTTAGCGGCATGTTACAGAAGTGTTCATCTTCACAACACACACCAACTGCAGCAACTTCTGAGTTGCTGAAAGGACAGCTGCCAACTAGACTGTTGTCACTAGGCTGACTGACATCAGCAATGCCAACTGGCCTGTTTCACAAAACTCATTTTACTTTAACATACACCAAAGCCTCAGCATCATAGTCAAGTTTGCAGGAGATCACAACATACAACAACTAGCAGATTTATGTAATTTGAAAGGAGGTTAGAAGACAAAAGATTAAAATGATTCCTTAATTGCAAAATGGAATTGTATATTTAATGCAAGGACCTGCCTATTTTTTATGGCATTAAAGCATATCTATCATTTTTTTAAAAAGGGGTTGAATGACATAAACAAAACAAAACATGAATTGACCATAAACAAACGTGTAGATATTTGTGTTGGAGATGCACGATATACCCCAAGTGACAATGGCATTCCAATACACCGTCTATTATGTCAGAACGTGGGTCACAATGGACAACCCAACATAGAAAAAAATTGGACACAGCTTCCTTTTTTGTGTGCTCGGTGTGCTAATCCTTCTCAATTGGACTGAACATTACATTTACCAGGATCCAAGACCTCTACTGTTCTTTAAGTCTCCCTTCATTCAAGGCTAATGGTATAAACAGCATTTTAATAACCAAGACAAACAAGAGAAAAAGAAAAAGGAGGCACTGAGTTGCTTAATCTTTAGCAGACATCTGTGATAATATTGATTTGTTGACATAAGAGCATCTGCAAGACCTTTTTTTTTTCCAGTGGTGGGGCAGAAGGATAGGAGTAGTTCTCAATGGAGCGGTCTGTCGTGTACGGAATTATATTTATGTCAAAAAAGGGTTTATTTGTTTTTTGACTATACTGTCTTCCTCTTCTGATAACCCTGCAGTTGCTCAGTAACTGCAGGACGCTGAACATTGCATTATGTGTAATTAAAGTTTAACTAGGTCAACTTTCTAGCAGGGCAAAGACAATAACTGCCTTTGGACCTGAGGCCACAGGCTCATACTGTAGCAATAGTTTGTGGTCATTTGGAAAATGCTAGTTTTGTTTGGTTATACTGTACACATAACTAAAATCCAATATGAATGGAATGATAAGAACACAACGGCATTACTACATGGTCGTATCCTGTGGTGAGGAAAAAAAATGTAAATTTAGTTTAGGCATTCGTTCTATTATTAAATGAATGCAAAACAGATACGCACAGTAACAACAAAAAAATAATAACAATAACACAAACTGTGTATCATATCCCTTAAGGCTTGACAAGAGAAGACAATTATAAACACCGAGCACATAAAAATAACCTAATCCTCATATATGAATTAACGACATTAATAGATAAGAATAGAACATAAATGTGTTAAATTACCCAAAGCTCATATGGCCAGCAAGTTTAATAGATAGACAGTTTCAGAGTTTCTATGGTTAATTGAATGACAAAAAATGACTAAGAAATAACTACCTATGCAAAGTGTTTTTTCTAATTGCTGTGCATCTGGGTTTCAGCAAAAACTGTTGTTGTAAGATCATCTGTCAATGGGAAAGACTATGAAACCAAGATCTATGAAACCAATTTGTAAGAAACGTGAATTAAGAATCTAAACCTGACATTTGACTGGACATCATATAACCAGTGGACAGTAATTAAGCAGATCTAAATAGTCCCACTATGAAGTTATTGAGTCCCAAAGTGAAAGGTTGTGCAACAGGGTCTGATTCAGTAATCTGCCTGATAGATGGCTGGCTCGCCCTTTGCCAGCAGTGTTTTCTAAAGGCTGCTCCGACATCTGTCAGCAGCCATAAGGCACACACAACCCCAGCTAAAGGCTTCAGCCATTTGTCACAGAATTTTATGACTCTGTCTCTCTGTGTGCTTGTGTGTTTACGAGTCTGTGACGGAGGAAGGAAAAGCCACGCGAGCGCGTGTAAGCTCGTAAATATGATATTTCATTTGGCCCGACCTGACAGAACACGTGACCAGTGCCGCTGCTTCAGCTGATGGATGCGCACACGCACTGTCATGTATATGGAGAAAGTAAAAAAGGATGGTGGGTATATTTTAGCTCAGTCCCTACCCTTTTTTGATAACTCGAAGTGGGAGGTATTGCTAACACCAGAATCGCCTGGATGTTTCTCATTGTGATGCAGACATTTTTTTTTTTTGCCAGCCCAAGGGCACAGGTGGCCTTCCGATGCAGACCCATCAGTCATGAGCTGCGGATGGGGAGGTGCACTGTGTTTCTAGGGGACACAATGTGGGTGTGGCTTGGTAACATGAACTATTACCCTGAGACATTAATAATGAATCAATGTGTTATTCAGTTCACTGGCACCGACAACAAACAGGCCTGTTCAGATAGAATGTGACCAGGAGAGTGAAAGTTCTGCTGGAAGGTTGCACACAGTTTGATGTCACCGTCATATTTATAAACACACAAATTCCTCCACGTTCTGCGAATGAAAATCAAAGGTTTAGAGCGGAGAAAAAAAAAATCCCCTGTTCCACATTCAAAGGCATGGGAGCTGTCAAGGGGTGATTCAGTGATGCTGGAGGTAATGAGAAAGTCATGCATTTATGGCTCCCGTAGATTGAGTTGCTGCTCTTGTGCGTACATAGCACCTTGAATGTGACAAATCTCTGTGTTCTGGCAAAGCTTTTTTTATGTTCCGTTTAATAGGTTTTCTTTCTCTGTGTTTCTGCTGACTGCTTACCTGTACAGTTTGACGCCCGCCTCCCTCTCCAGCTGAGCCCATAGCTCATAGGTCTCCTCCATCATGTTGACGTAGAAGTCCTGCTCATAGGCCTTGCGGATGATACGGGTCTGGCCATGAGAGCTTCCTCGGGTGTGGGGCAGGACAAACTGGAAAAGATGAACATGGAATCACTTTGTGCATAACTTTGACTTGAGAATACCATACACAAAATAGCTCACACTATGTTACAATTCAAACATTCAATCATGTATGTGAAATCAGCAGTGGTGGAGTGTAACTACATATAGTGCTCAACAAATTTATTAGACCACCACACAATGTAAGGTTTATGCCACAGCTGTCCTACATTAACAGCATTAGTAATTACCAAAATATTTTTTATGAGTCTGTATTAGTAATACACCAGTATGTAGAAGCTCTTTCACCCAAATGATATTTTCAGTGCTAAAATATAATTATTATTGTTATCCATGAATTTTCAAATGCAGTTTTACAAAAAAGCTGAAAAAATAGTAAAGCACATGATTATTTCTGGATTAAGATGTCTAATTATAGTTATTTACTTGCATTCCTGAACAGAAAAATGTATTTTAGTGGTTGAATGTTCATATCATAAAAGAAGACATCCTGAAGCAGAAATTTGTTTATAAACATTAAGATACGAAAAGTACAGCTTTGCTGTTTTTCATGCCTTAAAATGCTTGATTCATGCCCAGTGAGTCGGCTCAAATTTGAGTATAAAAAGGTGAATTCAGGTTGAAATTCCAAGAACACCACAGTGGGAAAGTCTAAGGAGGTCAGTAAAGCTCTGAAAATTCAAATCATCAACATGAACAAGTCAGGAGAGTCACTTGGAGCCATTTCAAAGGAGCTATAGATCCCAAAATCATCAGAGCAAACAATTATTGTAAGTACAATGTGCATGGTGTAGTCGTGTGACTGCCACTAGCAGGAAGAAAACACATCGCTTGCTGCTAAGAGACAATTGGTCAGGATGGTCAGCGCTCGACCAAGGATCACCAAAAAAACAAGTGTGCAATCAATCAGAAGCTGCTGTAGCACTTGTCTCATGGTCCACAGTCACCTGTGTTTTACAGCTTACAGGCTGCCATGCAAGAACTAGAAGTCGCACCTTACAGCTAAACTGAAGTTTGCTGCTAATCACATGGACAAACAAAAGGCCTTCTGGAGGAAAGTTCTGTGGTCCAATGAAACAAAAATACAACTATTTGGCCACAATGACCTGACATATGTTTGGAGGAGAGAAGATGAGGCCTTTAACGCCAAGAACACCAAACATACCATGAAGCATGGTGTTGGTAGTATTATGCTGTGGGGCTATTTTGATACCAGTGAAGCTGGTGTTTTACATTAATAAATTAAATAATGAAGAGGGAAAATTATCTCCACGTCCTTCAGGAAAGCCTAAAATAATCAGCCAGAGGGTTGGTCTTGGGTGGTCCAACAAGACCCTAAACAGACCCTAGTAGTAAAGAAATGGCTAAATCAGGGTAGAATTAAGGTTTGAGACTGGCCTTCCCAAAGTCCTGACTTTACCTCTATCAAGAACCTGTGGACTGTAATGAAGAAACAAGTCTGTGACATAAAGCCAAACTTGCCAGAAGCTTGTGGATGTCCACCAAAAGCACTGAGTGGAGGTAAAAATGGCCAGGGTACATTTAAACTCATACTATAACTGCTGCCTGTATATTTCTGACCGTGCAGATTTTGTCATATTTCCAGAATGCCTATAATAACTAAGAAGGAATCAGCGTGTGTGATTGTTTTTTGTGAAAAGACATACAAATTTCAAAGATTTCATCATAGAAAATTCTCACAAAGGATTCACTGGAAACTTCTTCAGGAGACTAATACAATATACATGGTCTTTACAAGTGTATGTAATCTACTGTACATGACTGTAAGTAGGGTTACAAACAGAAAACTTGGGCCCTTATGAGGAATGGGGTTCTAGTTTGAGAAACACACGCTTGCTCAGTGGAAAACAGTGGTCAGCTTTGACCTGAAAATACATCAGCATTTTTTTTCTTTGTAAATGAGTATACCTATAGGTAACAGATTATGAATAGATGGTTAACTAATAAATAAATAACTTAAGAGCTTACAGCTGAGTGTTTCCAAAGGACTGTCTGCACACCTCAAACGTTACTTCAGTAGTA